TCCCGCCGCCTCCCTCAGGGTCCCGCCGCCTCCCTCAGGGCCCCGCGGGCCGGGCGGTTTGCCGTCTTGCTTCGCTGCCGGTGCTGCCTGGCGTTTTCTTTACCTGTTCTGTGGCAGAGAGGAGGCTCTTGTAGCCCCTATCCCTTCACGGTCTCATCTGCTTAAGCAGTGCGTTTCCCGATTTCTTCCTTTCCCTGGATACGAAGAGGAAAAGGTTCCTTTTTAGGGTCTGTTTTTGCACGCAGGGAGTGTGTCATGGTAAGTTTCTCCAGTTCCCTTAAAGAATATTTTTCTGTGGGAAGAGCTTTGTTACAGTTTCTTGATGTAAGATACTTACAGTCCCAAGTCTTGGCTTTGTGGGTGACTGTGTTAAGGGTTGTGTGTGAAAATAACTCCTTCCATATCTCTTCAATGCTGTAGAAGAAACCTTTCCATTACTGTTATTTTTGTTTGAAAGCTCTGTGTAGAACAGTTTTCAAAGGCATCAAGGTGAGTTAGCAATTTCGCTTTTCCTAGGGGAAACTGGTGTGGGGGAGGACTGACTGACTTTCTGTCCTGTGAGCGAAGAGGACATCATTTCTTCTTCCAGAGGATTAATGAGATAAGGGCAGTCCCTGAGATTTATGGCTTCACAACTCAGGTTGAAAGTAGGGGTTTAAACTGTGGAGAAACTCTGTGCTGTATCTCTCACAAGCGCGCCCAGGATGGGGCAGATCTTCCAGTTAAGAACCGAGGGATTTCTTATTTGTTCGTTTTAGTAGTGCTAGTTCATTTGTACGATGTCTTCAAATAGATGCTTTCTTTTATCACTGCTAAAACTTCAGATGCAAGGGGAAGGAGATAGTGTTTTGCTAGTGAAGGAAAAAGCGAGTATGTGGACTGTCCTCCTTGTCATTCTCTCAGAAATGCCATGTTTTTACTCGAGAGAGTAGATGGTAAAAATACTGGCTCCAGAAAACTGTTAGAGTAAATAATTTTGAAGGCGAGTGCTGAGGATAGAAAGGTTTCTGTGTTGGAGGAAGTGTGTTTAGACAGGTTTGGAGGAGACTTGGCTGCCGTTATCTTTAAATAGCTCCTCTTTTGATCCTGCTCAGTTGGTGGGGTACCTAGGCTGATATGTTGCCTTCCTGAATGTGGAAGATGATACTGTCTTATTTTCATTCCTCGCTCTAGCATTGAGACTTTCTAATTGTGTGGGCTTTTTTTCTTCCTATACCATGAAGATGGGTTTATGAATAGAGAGTGTCTTGAACTAAGATGCATCCCTTTTTCCAGTAGGTAGAGGATTCAGTTACTGAAATGGTTTCCCTCCTTCCCAAGCATGAAGGAGAAAGTTGGCATGCAGAGGCATCTTTTGTTCTTTCCCATCCTACTCTGCAAAATGGAGTTCCTTGCCGTAGAAACTCTCTGTCTCTGGTCTTCCTGAGCATTGACCTCCTTTTACCTTCTGTTAGTGTTTGAATGCCTTATTATACTCATTATACTTATGATACTCTCTTTTGTGGTTAAGCTGCATTTGGAGGAGACCCATCTCACCACCTCTTGTATTCTGTAGGTGGTTCTTCAACTCCCCTGACCTGCTGGTAGTCAAATTCTGATGAATGGGAGTGTGAGATACAGTGATCCATGCCAGTCACCCCTCCTATCTCTTGCCTGCTCTGAAGGCTGCAGAAAGGTGGCAAGGGAAGGGGTGTCCCATATTTGCAGCAGCCAAATATTAAGTGAGCACGTTCAGCCATTTTAGAATGCCAAATATACCTGGTATTTAGAGAATTAGCTATTCAGCATGCATGTTTTTGTAAAAGAACGCTCAAGGTGATTTTTCTTGCTTTAGAAAGATGATTCTTGCAGACCTTTGAAGGATGACTAACAGAAAAGAGTGGGTTGTTCACCCCTCAAAGAGGGTGAGGCAACCAGCCTGTGTATCGCTTCCAAAGACAACATATGTTCTTCCACCTGTATCTCTTATGGTGTTTATTATATTTTTATCCACTATGATGCATTTGTTATCTTCTCAGTTTAATTTAGTTTGTAAGATGCCTGGGATATATATGGAGATGGTTAGTCAGATCCACCTAGGAAATATTACTGCAATACTGATTTTTTTTTTTCTTCTGTAATGTGACTGCTCTTTTGTTTGTGAGATTATATTTGTTTTCTTCAGTTTTAGGATTGCTTTAAAATATTTTTGTGATGTAAGTTTTAGTTTTGGAGTGATCTTATATGTACTTAGCAATGACAAGGTTACCTCAACATATTTATTTTACAGCATTAATACTAGCTTATTTTCTACAAAGGCCTGGCAAAAGGGTAAGAGTTACTTTAAAGCAAAATGAGATTTTAATTTCTGTTTGAGGGTCATAGTTGATCAAGGGAAAGCTTAGAAATGAAATTCTCTAAATGAAAGGGATAGTGCTGCTTCTTCTGGGTGATACTTAGAAGAAAATGCAAAAGCAGATCAGCAGAAACATCAGTTAAATCTTTTTCTGGAGCACTTGATTTTTAATTTGTCACTTTTTTGTTACATAATGCATTTTATAAACAATCTTATAAATAATGAAACAGAGTGAGATGGATTTATGTTGGTTTGTTACTGCTTGTATGTCAGGTGTGACAAAAAAAATTATTTCCTTATTTCCTTGGAGAATGGTTGTGGACTCTTTGTGGGGTCCAAGAAAGTTTATAAGCATAGATATCCAATGTTTGTTTGGATAAGAAAAGGTAAATGTCTTTAACATTGGTAGCATAGTGTTTAAGTTGTGTTGTTGCTTTCTTGGCTGTTGATCTTGGGGAATTCTTACGATTCACTTAGTGATGGCAGCTTTTGAAATGCCCAGCTTTGGAATATCTTAAATAGCCAGATTTTGTTTTGGAGTAGTGTCGTGGTTTAACCCCAGCCAGCAACTGAGCCCCACCCAGCCGCTCGCTCACTCCCCCCAGTGGGATGGGGGAGGGAATCGGAAGGGTAAAAGGGAAGAAACCTGTGGGTTGAGATAAGGATGGTTTAATAGGGAAAGCAAGAGCTGTGCGTGCCAGCAAAGCAAACCAAGGAATTTGTTTGCTACTTCCCATGGGCAGGCAGGTGTTCAGCCATCTCCAGGAAAGCAGGGCTCCATCATGTGTAATGGTTACTTGGGAAGACAAACGCCATCCCTGCAAATGTCCCCCTTTCCTCCTCCTTCCCCCAGCTTTATATGCTGCGCATGACGCCCTGTGGTGTGGGATATAATATCCCTG